TAACAAACTCCCCCCCAAAAAGGAGAGAAAAGGACGATAGATGTTTGAATGGAAAGAAGAAGCAAACCACACCAGAGCACCCGCCAACCACCCACTTGGTTAGTGTTTACGGCGCTCTCAACTTCGTAAGGTCATAATATGAGCGCACGGGGTTGGGGGTTTAAATTTGCGCTGTGCCCTCGGTAGTCCAGCATGATTTCACTTTTGAGCCAACGGAGCTTCCCCATGAACAGCAGAAGCAGTAGCAGTAGCAACAGCAAAGTAGTAGAAATAGTAGTAGTAGTCGACATAGTAGTAGTATTAGCAACAGCAGCAGCAGTACTTGTACTACTAGTAGTACTCGTACTACTACTGCTACTACTGGTACTATTACTACTACTACTACCACTGATACTACTGCTACTACATTTGTACTACAATGAAACTCGGATATACAAAGTCGACGGACCTAACCTTCGATTTCGTTGAATCCGAGTGTTCCTTACAGCACTGTGAGCAACAAGTTGCGTCACAATGTAGGGCTTAGTATTAATAAATATACGGTATCGTTTGCTTTCAAAGAGCAGCGCACAATCCATTTCGTAGATTTACATTATGTCTAGACTAGTCTTTCATTGCCCAGCAGCTCGTGGGGAGGGGGTGGATATGATTGTGACGCGTCTGTATCTCTGCCGACTTTCCACTCCCGCCCGAAACGGTTAATGCCCCCCCCCCGAAATACCCTCAGACACACATACACTAACAGCCAACTGGCCGACCTCTCTTGACCCTAGCAGGACACATCATGTGTTACTACGCTCGTGTTGGTGTGAAAGAAGGCTTATAAATCTGATCGGACACCTACGATTAATAAGAAAAAGACGCACACAATAGGATAGGCTACTAAGCGAAGTGTAACCTAAGTGTAACGACCCACGGGGCAAGTGCGATTGATGGTCTCTTAGAGGAAATAAGGTTTGTGGCGACTTGGTTGAATCTGAGTTCACTTTATTTATACATGTAATGCGTTAATTGAATCTGAGTTAATTTGTTGATTTAGATGAATAATAATAAAAATAATATTAAAAAAGAGAAAAATCTGTCTCCTTTTGTTCAATCTGAGTTCCACTGTACATCAACTCCCCTTTTTTTTAGCAAGCGGACAAAGAGCAGAAGGCTACGGAGGCAGCAGCAGAAGGAAAGATAGTAGAAGTTTTACATTACATTCAACACAAATAGTAAATACGTCATATGAGTGAAAAAGATTAGAGGTGTTATGAGAGATTTATTTATAAAGAAAAGAAGCAGGGGAGACAAGGATGATAGATTTATTTGATAGGAAAGAAGGAGCAAACCACATTAGAGCACATGCCAAGCACCCACAAAAATGACAACAACAGCTGCACAAAATTAAACTCAAAGCAATGAAAGTAATCCTTATTCCTAAATGTGTCAAGAAGTCAAGAAGCAATGGAATCATGCGCTCATCAATTTTTTGGGCACGTGCAATTACACATGTATTGATATCTTAAAGCTTTTTCATTTGTTTTGTTTTTGATGAAAGGAACACTCATTTATCATGAATAGAAGAATTGTGATAGAAAGAGGTGGGGGTTGCCTGGTTTCAGAGGTAAAATTTCCATGTAGCGAGGAAATGCGCGCCAAAGTTCAGCGACTTCCACAGGTTGAGAGTCCTTGGAAACTGCAGGTTTACATTTTTTTGTGCCTTCCATCAACTTTTTCCAGTGAAATCCACCCAGAAATGTGTTTTTAAATGGACATCAAAAGGTGTCGAGCCAAAACTTTAAAAAAATTCGATAAAAACTGCTAAATCTAGATGGGCGGAAAAAAAGCTGGTTTCTTTGATTTCATCATATTGGTAAGTGCCTGTTTTCACCACGATGCCTCACATAATTATTGTCTTTTTTTTGGTAAGAATTTTGCGGCGCTTGCATTGCAACACAGTAAGGTCATACAAGTGCCGCAGAACAGATTTAACTTACACAAAAAAGAAGGAAGAGAAATAAGGACGATAGATGTTTGATAGGAAAAAAGGAGCAAACCACACCAGAGCACTCACCAACCTCCAACTTATCGTCTTCAACTTCAACATCACCATCGACAGCAGCTTTTGTTTACAGACTAACGAAAACGCGAAACAAGCAGAGGCAAAAAAAAAAGACAAACATAACGATAACTAGCTGGTACATATCACAATATTTAATGAAATGTACACACATGTTCAGGCGTTTGACATGTTACAAATATTCTCTTGTTTTTGTTTGTTTGTCCAAAGCATCCACATAAAGAGAGTAATGTGCAATTCTTTTTGGCCTTGAACAGACCACTAGGCATTTAGAGTGGAAACCTGATATAACAGGGATGGTGGGACCAGAGAAAAAGTCCTGTTATATCAGATCCCTGTTAAATAAAAAATGCAAGGGAATTTTAAGCATTTGCGGACTAATCCAGCTAGGCTTAGGGCTAGATTGAAGTCTGCAGCACAACGCAGCCCTCTCTTGCTTCACCCGCTGCATGAGTTTGCAGTGGCGTGGCTTGCGTGGGCTTGCTACTTGTTACTTTCTCGCTCTCTCTTTTTCTCTCTTACTTTTTACACATTGTTAACGAGCCTTTGTCCCTGCTATAACCGGTTGGGCTCCTTTGAGGTCCTGTCATAGCTGATAACTTTTATTAATAGAGACAAAGAGTAGGAAAAAAGCAGGGATTTCAAAAATCCCTGTTATTACTAGATCCGTGTTATTACCGGGCCTGTTATATATGGTTTCCACTGTATACATTATAAGGAATCATTTTCTGTGTCCAAATATCAAAACTGGAAAAAGCAACGGACAAGCACAACATTTATGGAAAAAAATCACAATACCTGGCCACATTTAAGAATAGTTGTCAAGGAGATTCATAATGTGGGTGTATATCAAACTGCGCATTTGTGAATGTGAATAGGTATCTAAGAGGCCATATTATTAGATATGCTTTAGATGATACCATAACACAGATTCAGACCAGCTGTTATGACAGGTAAGCATCTTCCACTTATTCCAGACACGACTTCCATCACGCATGAGTAAAAATCTTTCATACAATTAATACAAACAACCACTTCCTTCAGGAAGCAAACATTTTTTCAAAACAATAATGCAATATGCCATGGGCATTTACGCCTTTAACCCTATCCATACGCCCTGGGGTCATTTGTACCCCCGGGGTTGTTTCCTTAACATTTTACAATACTTCTAGTGCAAAGACATCTTTGAAACTTTCGGTGTATTTCTCAAAAAATCATTTTGACAGACTGCTATGCAAAGCGTACGGATCGGATAAATGAGTAAAATTCCTCTTTGGAAAGTGGTGGCACAGAGTTCCCCACGTCGCATGGATACGATAGTAAAAAACGACGTACGGATAGGGGGTAAAGGGCTGTGTGGGATGGGCGGGGGGGGGGGGGGGGGGGGGGGGGGAAAAAAAAAAAACGGGGGGGGGGGGGGGGGGGGGCAGACAAAAACAATCGAAACGAATACACATTACATTTGTAGCTTTTGCACCAGATATTTTTTTCCCAGAACAAAGTCATTCATTCATTATTCTCTCCAGGAGAAGCCTTCAGTCAACATTGTTATATCCTGAGTTCATATTTTCTATTGAATTCAAAGGAAAATGTCACCTTAATTTAGTACACATTGCACATAAGATGAGAAAAATAAGTTAGAAAAGAATATCACTACAAAACTAGTGAATAAAAAGGTATGATTCAAAAGCTTTTAAAAGCACTTCAAACAAAATTACAAAACCAACCTCAAACATCAATGATGTTATCAGTAATATCACACACGTTAAATGTGAAAAAGGAAAATTTTTTAAAATAATGATTTACTGTACGCACATCTAATCAGGCAAGCAAAACATAATGGCCACAACAGAGATACATATTATATATGTACATGTATAAGAGGCTTGTTTGCTGATCTGAGAAGCCTCACTCTGCAAACTAAACTATGTTGCCTACTGGGGGAAGGGACCCATTGTCATTCTCACGCGAACAGACCCCCCCAAAAAAGACAACATTCCGACAACCATCCATTGTAAATGTATAGGTTTAACAACACCCTTTTCAACACTACTGGATTATTTATAAGCCGGGATCACAGAATTTAACACCTGTCTCTGATAGGACTGAGCCTAACGGGTTGAGAGAAAACTCCAGAAAATGACCAGAGTTCAAGAAATCTCGGATTCAAAACAGGGCGACCTACTCTGTAGTTCAGCAAGAAGCATAATACCAACTGAGCTAACCAACTGTCCATGATATAAAGAAAATAGTTACAGTAATCCAGAACTCAAAGGAAAAGTCAGATGCAGTGCACGAGAGCACAACGTACATGTCAGGAGCTTTAACATCCTCCAGGAAACATAACATACTGGGTATTTTAAAAAATGTTAAGTGTTTGTAGTTGTACGAATGCCCTTATCGACACAAATTAGATCATTTAGGAGGCAGGTTTCCCACCCTGCCTGTGTAGGGACCAATCCGAGCTGAAAGGAATATAACATTCTAGCAGAAAGACCGAGACACTTGAAAAAAAATAAAAATTTCTACCCACCCTGAATCAAACTAAGTCCTCCTGCACGTGACAGTGATAGCCAAGCGCCTAACCATTACTACACCACAGACACCGGTCTTCAGCAAATTTATTTTCAAAACAATACCAATAGTGCAGTACTCCATGGGCATTGGCATCGATATGCCGTACGGAAAAAAAGTGCGCGCTCATATGACCTTATGCAGTTGCGAGCGCCATAAAACTCATACACAACAACGGAAAAAAAGTGGGGTGGAAAGGGGGCGCGGGTGCATTCAATCAAAAAACATATTTTTAACTTACTGTACTACACACACACACACGCACAATACACCCTTTTTCAAAAACAAAATCGCTCAATAATATTCTCTCCAGGAGATCAACTGCTGGCATTTTTGCCACTGGCAAAGCGACCCATCAAGTCCATACTCAGTGGGATCCAAATCCACACACAGCACAATACAATACTTACTTTGGGTTTTCAGGCACCACTATTCTATATCAAAACCAAGCATTGTCCGGTTCATCGTTTCCATGAATTATCCGATTGACTGCCTATACCAATAAACATGAAACAATTATATATTTCTAATATATAATAGAAAACTTTTGTTGCAATTTACAAAACTAAACAAATAAACTGATTCAAGCTTTTTTTTCTTCTTTAAAGCTACACTCAAAGCCAGAACATGAGAAAGCATGAGCATGGATGAAATCTCGAGGAGCAGCACAATGTATCCTTTGAACTCAAAAACGATGGAATTAAAAAGGGCATGATTAATATCTGCTGGAAAAAGTGACACATTCTCTCCCTCTTCTTCCCTTACAAAAAAGTCTCTAGCAGAAAACCATTCACACTTTTGCTAAATAGTGCAGTGCTCACAAAACTTGGTATCAAGCAATGATTGAAAGCAAGAGAACTCACCAGAAACAAATTTGCAAGAGTAAACTTTTTCTCAGTGAAACCTCCTTGTTCCTTCTCTTTTCATGGAAAAACAATTCTTTTTTAATGCTTATACACCCAAATCAAAACGAAACCTCCAGATATGCACTCATGGTTACAAAAAAAGTCTAAAGTATTAATGTTATGGCCGTTAAGACCGCTGGTTTTAATCAATTGTATATTTCTACTTGATTTTTGTATTTTGTTCGTCTTTCTCTCTCGGATCTGATTATTTTGAATTGGCCCTCATACTCATAACCTTCCATACTCGTGGTCTTTTCTTTTCTACCTTCACTCTTTGAGGACACAATGCTGGTGCATATAATCCTAATTATCATTCGATGATTTCCCATCAACCAGCAAAGAAATCTCAATCTTTGTTTTCAACTGCAAAAATGGAACTGATTAATGTTTTGTGCAAAGCAGATACGTAGATTTCAAATTTCAAACACCACATCGTGGCATGAAATTATGATTTAATTATGATTTGTTACGAACAAACACAAAAAAGCAATTCTACAACCCCTCACCAATCATCATATGATGTAAAAACAAACCCATTACATTTATGAATGTGCACTTGTAGGCCTAAGACAGCCAACAGCAAAGTACAATTTACTCTTTGGTACTGCCCTTCTCATGAAGATCAAACTTTCATGGAGACATGATTGTCAATTGCAAGTTCCCATGACGCATGTCACAAAATAAAAAGTTATAAATAAACTTTTGACATAAAAGTATAGTCACCACATGACACAGGAATAAGATAAATCAATGGAATCGCCCACACACTAGCCACATATGCTATGATGAGCACTTCATTTCAACCTGTCCATCTCACAATAATAGGATGGGACAGTGTCTTAGATCTGAAGGTTATGTAGGGAAAAGTGGAGGATGAGGAGGAGGAAGAGGAGGAGGATGAAGAGGAGAAGGAGGAGGATGAAGAGAAGGAGGAGGTGGAGGAGATGGACGAAGAAGTGGAGGAGGAGGGGTAGGAGGAGGCGGAGGAGGAATAGGAAGAGGAGGAGAAGGACCTTCCCCTAATCCTGCTCATCTGGGGCCCATCTGAGGGGGCCTCTTGGTCTGTATGATCTGGGGTTTGAACTCTGGTTGAGTCCCTTCGGGATCCTCACATAGGTGGACAACAATGGCCGGAGCCTCTCCTGACGGTGGGTGCACCTCGTGTGTTTCACCTGCCGCAAAATGATTGGTCAGACAAAATTCAGTTTTAATTTTCATAATAGTTTTACTGCACTTGCAACACAAATGGATTAAATATGTGGTGAAGATAATTGGTGTTACTAGACAGAGAGTAACATACAAAGAAAAGAAGTAGGAGAGATTTATAAAGACCATAGAGGTTTGGGAGGAAAGAAAGAGCAAACCACACCAGAGCACCCTCCAACCAACCACAAGCCAGAATTTAATTACAGTCCAAACTGTCCAAGACATTCATCTATTGTCAAGGAGAAAAGTGGCTGTTTAGACAGGATGAAAGTCTTGAGCAGAGTCATGACAACATAGGAAAATAAAAAACCAAGAAGGGAGGGGGACGGGGAATGGAAGTGGTTGTTTGTTCAGGTGATTGTTTTGGACAGGTGGCTATTAGAGCAGGTTCGACTGTAATTTCATAAAAACAGATAATTAACATCTCAAACACCAGAGCTTGAGCACCAAAATGAAGGCATAATTATGCAGACTCTGTAAAACGAAACTCGACAAAAATAACTTATAAAGTCCAAAGCAGTGAGACATTAAGGGTAGACTCACACATACTATTATTATCTATGTTCAGAGTACTTTTTTTCTATGAACTGTCTGAAATTCATTTCCCTGCATTTTGATAAAAACACTTGAAGTTCTTTAAATTTAAAAAAAAAAAAAAGAAAAAAAAAAGAAAGAAAAAAAGAAAAAAAAATGCAGTCAGACACGGGTAACTTGAATTTGTCGGTGATTGGAAATAGTGTTTGAGATTTAGGAGATTTTCGTGTTCCAGATCCGTGGACATTACTGTAGTACCTTTGAAATGAAGGTGTCTTATTTATTTCTGTGTGACTTAACTCTTTCCTAACCAAGCCACGATTTTTGGGGGGTTATTTTCTGACTCTCATCGGTAAAGACATAAACACAATTCAGTCTCTCATTTAAAAGAAAAAAAGAAAAAAAAAATACATTGCAGAAAATGTAATACTATTACTCATGAGAGTCAGAAAATAACACACAAAAAAAACCCCTGGCTTGGTAAGGAAAGAGTTAACTCACATAGATATAAGCAAGAAACCTTCATTTCAAAGTCTTAATAGCTCACCTGGATTAAGCCTCGCAATTGCGTGTAGTAAATCATAATTGATAACGGGTTCCGACTCAGGTATAGGCTCCCAGCCCACGGGTGGTGAGGCGGGTGGGGAGATGAGGAACATGCGCTGGGGCTGGGGAGGCTGTAAGTGGGTGTTGTCTGTACTTGGCTGGTGAACCTTCAGGCAAAGACAGGTCATCAGAGTTAAACTACATAAGTTTGATGAAAAAAAGATTAATCTGACTTAAAAACGAGAAACATGGATGCCAATATTACTAATATTTTTACTGCTGATTTTATAAACAGGTACTGGTGAGTGGGCAGCTCTGTGTATAGGTCATGTAGGTTCAGGGACCTCAAAGGAGACGGACGAAGAGGCTTTATCAACTTTATGTATGACAACATGACATTAATTTTCACTGACAAAAAGAGGTGATGAAAAAGGTCTCTGTGTGTCTTAGTAAGTTTGGTCGAATTTCGATTTTTAAAAAAAGGGGGGGAGGAGGGGGTAGTTACTAGCTGTCAGCTTCACTCTTGTAACAACAAAAGAAATGGTACGCATCACAAACTTTTGACCCTGATTGTGCATTGCTGCAAATCATGCTGGGTGCCACATCTGATTCGTATCAAATAATGACCCGTTTAAAAAACATTTTCTCACTGGCTTAGAACCTGGGTCCCCGTCACACAGACCTAAAGTGCAAAAACTTTTAACATTCAATCCAAATAATGTTTGTCATACTCCTGGCTTTGCTTAAACAAAAATGTTATTCTGATGGCAAAGTGGTAATAGGTGGCCACGAGGTCTTTAAGCTAAGAGTAAGAGAGTTATAAAGTTAGACAGTTACAAGTGACATAGCTGTCAGGGTTTGATTGTTTTTCTTCCTGTGTGGATTGGTTGGGGCCCCCAAACGTCGAAGAAATATAAACAAAATTAGAATCAAAGGAGTTATAATCTTATTATGTTAAATTATTCTAAAAATTGTAACAATCCCCCCAAAATTTGTAATGGTGGGAAGCCCTGCATACAGCTGAGCTCCCAAGATCAACTGCTAGATTTTTATCAGTACAAGCTCAGGTATGTGTGCTATCAAGATGCTATCAACATTTTATTACTTTCCTTATTACACTTAGATTTCTACACACAGATACCTGTGCATCAATTTAAACTTCTCAATAGAAACTATGTATGCAAGTAAAAAGCCAGGCATGTGACTTAGAAAGCTGTTTCTTCAGCCTATTTTATCATGAGTATACATTGTTGCCAAAAACCCAATGTGATCTATAAATTGGCCAGAAAAGTTATTTTCAGTGCTTTCTTACTAATAAGCAAGACACTGGTTTACAGAGGACACTGACAATAAGAATAAAGATCTTGATTTATTCATTTTCTATAAATAATTCAGATCCGCAGGAAATACCTTCAAAAAGAAGCATCTAATGGTGGACCCACAGATGGCTACTCCATCATATCTGATACGTGCTATAGCAGCAAAATCAGAGGAGGAGAACTGGACCCTTGCCCTCCGAAAATTTCTTAAGTAGATGAAACTGACATCCTTGTCCAGGTCTCGGAAAACGTGTTCAAACATCTCCTGAAAAAGAAGAAGGCCATTGTTAAACTAACTACCGTCTCTAAACTGTTTGCGCAAAGTGCCACGTGGAGAGCAAAACTTATAATATAAGACTTTTTCTTTACCTTATTTACAAATGAGCAATGTTATTGATCGATCAAAGGAAACTACATTAGGTGGGCGGTGGGCGGGTGCTCTCGTGTCATTTGCTCCTTCTTTTTTTTTTCTCAAGAAACATATATTGTCTTTATCTCTCCTCCTTTTCCTTGCATGTTACTCTCTGGCAACACTTCAATTTTCTGTACTAATTATATATGATCTATTTCAATTTGTGTTGAGAGTGCCATTATAAGACTGTTACTGAAACTTAAGTACAGAGGAGTGTGCTCAGAAATAATTTATACAAGTCAAACAAATTTTTGTTCCGAATGCATTATAATACATATATTATCATTTTTAAATTTAAAAAAAAAGGAGTATCATGACTACAGCTATCGTAAGACAAAAGAGAGGTTCAGTTTGTCACAAGATACTAGTACTAGGCTAGGCTCACTCTAAACAACAAAATATAGAGCTGGTACCTGACCGCAAGGCAAGATACAGCAACCAACCTGTGTGTGTGCATCTTCAAATATGTTGGAGTCAATGTTTGTAATAATGAGTGCCGTGGGGATATCATCAAGGTCAGTCATTTCCGTGAGGCCATCCATCTCCTCGCACAGGTGATCCACGTCATCCATGGACTCCACAGAGTCCATCCTTTCCGACATGATGATGCCGTGCTGACAATCTTTTCTAGGCAATGAATTTCAAATTTACGACCACACTTGACAAAGGGTTGTGTCGAGTAAACCTTTCTGGGAGGCTCGTTGAACTGACTTGATCAAATTTCACCTCACTTCAGAAACAAGGAAAAGCTATTTGAAAATTTGATCGATGCCAAAGAGGTGGAACATCTAAGGTAAATACTTGAATTTAAAACTTTTGATTTCATTTAAAAATGAAAAGTCTTTTAAACAGAGTTCTACGTTAACTGCATAGAAGTGTCAGTCCAAAAGATGGAAAACATGTAATAGATCCACTGAAAACATCTTTCAAGTCCCTCTTTTCTATTACCTGTAAAGGAAGAGAAAGATTTATATAAAATTTTAATTCAACATATCTGAATCTGAGCTCAAGAACTGAGCTGGGAATGTTGTGTTATTTCATGATCAGTATGTGTTGCACCTTTAAAATTGGGATGATGTGGATCTGTCTCCTCCCCTCCCTCTCCTTACCAGTGCCAGCAAGGTGGTTTACAGGCCTACATATAGATTTAAAAAATGATATTATGCCCCTGTAAATCTGTACTCCCCAAAACAGTCTTACCTCTAGCCGTTAACATTTTCAGTTACTCCCTCTAGCTGAAATTTTTAATAAATCAGATCATTATTTAATAAAACAAGGCCTATTTTATGATTCATGATTAATTTGCTAAGCTACAGTACAACACAAGTATAGGGTGCTATCTGCTATGATTATGGTGTTGACACTGTTTTAAGCCTGCTAGTGCTCAAGTAAGTTAGCCTAACTTCTACATCGGTAATACATGGTGACGTAATTCAGGGATGCTGCTCAACTTTTTTTTAATTAGCTGAAATCCCGGCAGCCCGGCGTGTGATTTCTCGACTTTTTTTCTCCCCGTTATTTGAACTTATGGCGAAGTCTCCGTTTTTCCGTAAAAATTTGAACATTTGGCGCAAGTTGTCGGGTGTGTGTGGATTTTTAAAAAACTATAGATTCTATCTCGATCTCAATAACGGAATAGCGGATCAGGATCAAAATACCGGAAAAAAAGCGGAAAAGTGGCCTCCCTGGTAATTCTCTAGTTATGTAAATTTAATAGAATCTAGAGGCAGGCGTACTCCCTGACTGACCCTCCTACACTGTGAAAAAGAAACAGTTGCATACTGTTCGACTGAAATGGAACATGCATGACGAACAAAAACACTGAAGACAACCACGCAAAAAGTCACAACTATAATTGACTATGATTGACATTTCATTGCTGACTCATTACTATAAAAGGCTAAAGTAAAAGACATCATCTAGAGCTCTACTAAAACACTTCAGCTGACAACAACTTCCACTACTTTCAGGATAGCTAAAAGGAAGTGGCTATTTTCACCCCGGGTGAGAATAAAAATACGATCGACCTCTCACCCGGGGTGAGACCTGACAGTGTTGGCTATTTTCATCCGGTGTGAAACAAGACCTGTTCCGAATTTCTGAATACTGTCTATCAGTGTGGATGATCAAATTGAAAAAAAAAAAGAAAAAAAAAATGATGTATAGGTGAAAAGTAAACTAATTTGGTCCTCTTCAAAGATGCTATGGCTATTTCACTTTTCGAATCGAGCTCAACTACGCGGGTCGCCATTTTGTTTTGCCCTGGAAGTTCTCGACTACTTTCAGGATAGCTAAAAAAGGGTTTAGGCCTACAAATCTAGATCAACAAATCCCAGGTGAGAATAACCTATGTCTCGCTATTCTCACTCTCTCCATTGTTTAAATCGAAAATGACCCAAGAGGGATCAGGGCTGAGGTTACCAGGGCTAATGCTCCACAGAACGTGTTGGTGATGGTGTCCAAATAGAACATAGGCCTAGATCTAGATCTAGTCACAGTCAGGGCTGTCAAAATTGAAGAAAATTCCCAGAAATTTGGCTCTTATTACGTGTATCGCGTTTGGGCCGGAGAATGTAATTTTGCTCTCTGGCTCTTTTTTTTGGCTCCAAACTCCAAATGTTCAAGAAGAAGAGGCAAGAAAAAAAAAAGAAGAAAAATAGAAGAAAAAAAAAGAAAGTGAAGAAAAAAGCTTGGACTGCTTGAATAGTTATTAAAAACTATTTAACACGATTTAACGCCCTCACCCCTTTGGTCTGATCATAATTTACAACCCTTCAACCGTCATGAAAGAGTATATATTAAATTTTAATAGTCCCGTGCTTGTGTCTCATTACATTTGTACACACGCTCTCTGTTCCTTGATAGTGTGTGCAGGCAGAGAGGCCTGTCGTCGCAACAGTTATGTAGTGTAAACAACTAATGGTCCGGCCGGCGGCTGGTCCCACATCTCGCTCAGAGTCGGTAGTGAGCCTCCCTTTTTTTACTGGAGAGGCAAAAAATGTTTTTACAATGTTATTAGGCCGGCTCTATTTCTCCGAACGTTCGGGGAAATAAACTTCAACTTTATTTCTCGGAACGGTTTCCGTTCTCGAGATTTTGATACATGTAATAAGAGAAAGGAGTGGCCCGTGTGCGTGTCAGTGTGTGTGTAAGGCTTTGCTGGGTAACTAAATGCAAAATAGGTTACTGCCAAAGGTTGAGCAGTATGTCTTGTTTTCTCGAGGTACCTTTTGAAGGTATTTTCAAATGAAGTATAGTCAGGGAACGTTGCCCAAACCACAACTGAAGTATGTGAATATTCAGACATTTAAAAATCTTCTAGCTCTAGAAATTGAATTCGATGCAAAAAATGCTTCCTCCCAGTCTTCGCAGAATGGCAGAATGAAAGGATGACGTCTAAATCTCGCAAATAACCAAAAAAACTCTAGGTCAGAAACCGTTCGGAGAAATAGAGTTCAACTTTATTTTTCCGTGAGTTCTGAGAAAGAGTCACTTCCTTATTATTATGGCCGTCTTTATTCGGACTCAAGTCCGAATAAAATTTTTTCATATTCGGACTCGAGTCCGAATAAAAAAAATTCATACTCGAGTCCGAATATGAAAAAATGTTATTCGGACTCGGGTCCGGAAAAAAGGAAGTGTCTTCGTTCTATAGATCTAACGTTCAGTGCTTCCAATTTTCCGCCATTTTTTAGTTTCCCCCACACCTTTTCTGCTGATCCGATGTCCGCCGCGTCATTGATACGCCCCCCCACCCCCCATGTTTCCCACTTTCTTTGTTGTAGAAAAGGGTAAAATTGAAGATTAGCAGACCACCTGGCACCTACATATTATGAGCTGTGTAAAAAAAAAAAGACCGATTCGTTCAAATACACGAGCCTGTGTCATCTCGATTGTTTACCAAGAAAAAGTTGTGTTGCTGTGCAGAGCTGAGCATACGGCAACTTTTGATTCCATAGACCAGCGCACAATTCATTACGTAGATCTACGTCAAGACTAGCATATTGTAATAATGATCATTACTGGGGGAAACAAGACTGACGCTTATGCGACGTTCAACGCCTGGACCGATAGTGCCCCCCCCCTCCCCCGACACGCACACAGCCACACGTGTGCAGGCCGCCCATCCGACCCTGACACACGCTAATGAGCCATCTTTAATTGCTTCTGATGACCTCTTGACAAATAAACATTTATTAGAAGCACTTTAACTTTTCAGGCCGGCCTCAAATTCATCATAAGATAAAAACTCGGCTCCTGCACAAAACGGGTAAACGCCATTTGATGATTTTGCCCGAAGGGATCCCGGACTCTACCCAGCCTGAGGCGAGTCACGAGTGAGGCAGGACAGGAAGCCGGAGTCACGAGTCACAGGAAGTCGGAAGTCATGTCATGCTGGACAAGAATCAGAGTCCGAATAACATTTTTTCATATTCGGACTCGAGTCCGAATAGTCACTTCGTATTATTATTCATTCCAAACCACATGCAGTAAGCCACCAAGGGCATAGGTGATTTTATCGGCCTGCGAGAGGTCAGGGGAGAGTTGGAGCTATTCACACCAAAGGGGGGAAGGGGGCGGAATAGCGAGACATGGGTCCATGGGATATTCTCACTCGCTATACTATCCGCTATATTGGGTTACGGATCCGATTGGGTTATTCTCGAATAGAGGTGGCCAATCGATATAGTCTGACACATTATGTTGTGTTTTAATGGGTAAGAACAGATCATAATTAAATCCCATCTTGAAAAGAAACATAAAATGTAACATACACAAATAATGAACACTTGACACAATAAAATGAGAACAAAAATACTGAGACTACACCTCAAAGGAGTTGTTGAGTGAGGAAGGTGGAAGCTTTTCCGGACAAGGGAGACAACGCTGAATTGTTGTCATTAATTATTGTAAAACTTAGCTCAGATCTATGACACAAATCAATGTTTCTATTCCTGCAATATAACTGAAAAAACTTATACTGCAAGATTGGAAGACTAGCTCACGAGATGTTTGGGATACAGTTTCTTTAAGCTAAAAAAAAATAAATATATAGATCTATATATAAAGCGGAAAAAAGAGCTGTCAGGTCAAGGGGATGGAACTTTTTGGAAGACAAAAAAAAAAAGAAAAGGAAAGAAGTTCTGAAGTAGACCACGAACACGAAATCTTAAAAACACTTCCGGTTGCATGACCTTTCTACTTTCGGTTTTTCACAACTACAACCATGATTATGATTGCCATTGCACCAACCAAAGTTCCTACTTGGGTGAAGTGAAACGCTCAGCATCGCCAAACACGAACTGCATAGGAAATCATACTTCCAGCTTTTGGGTTTTAGATAATTTTGTCAGTCTTACTACTTACTAACTTTAAAAAGTCTAAGACTGAGCCTTACTATTCAGCCGGTAGTTCCTTGTTTGTGGTTCTATCTGTGAAATTGTTTGGTTCTATCACTATCGCAGTCACTACTCAAGTGGTTCCTTTGATGTCAGGGCGATAGTAATTAAAGAGTCAAAGATTTCAACATTTGTGACCTGAACGATATTTCCTGTTCCTAGATCAAGATCTATAATCTAGATTCTAGTCATAGAGTCTAGTCATGTCGAATTTACATTTCTTGAGAACACTGCAGTGTGTTTGTAAAAAAAGCAACTGGACAAAGAAACGTTTCTTGGGTTTGACTCCCAGGTTGATGTACACACATCTCAGTAAGAACATTCAACATTCATCTGAGGAACATAGTAAATCTGCTCCTGAAATAAAAAATGACAAAGGTTTGCAGCACCAAGACCAAAGACACAGAAGCTTAGCATCGGGCCCTGATTTGAGCAGTTTTCTCCAAGAAGCTGTAGGTTCTGGTCTGAGTCCTCCAACAGATAATGTTGGCCTTGATGATTCATACTTGGGTGCACACCTTTTCCATGGTGACAATCGCAGTGGTATGTATAACAATATTGAATGTAAAGGTCTTTATTGGTGGTTGCTGTAGTGTATGTTGCCGTGTGCAGTGTTTCAGTGTTGCGAGTTGTTTTATGAACACATAATCTATATATATATAATAATAATAACGAAGTGACTATTTCTCCGAACGTTCGGAGAAATAGTGCCGATCTTTATTTCTCCGAACGGTTTCCGGCTTCCGGTCTCGTGATTTTTTGCCTATTTATTGCGAGAGTTCGGCGCCAACTTTCATTCTGCCTCTGGTCTGGGAAGGAACACCGCATGGCAAGCCCGCCTACATAACCTTCAGTAACACCCACCACACACCCACCACCATCAGGTACATGTACACACACAAACTTATGCACACACTAACTAAACATGATCAGTGGGCAACTTTTGAACGTATGACGAGCTGAGTTGTGGATGGAGAGACAGTGTGAGTGACAGAGCGGGTGAAAGGTAGAATTTACCAGTGTATCCACAGGCGACAGCAACTACAAGACGACGACACCGACCCCCCCCCCCCCATGGTTTGCAGGATGCAAGGGAATGAGTGAGATTTTCTTTGTGTGTGCCTGGAGGGAGGGGGTGGGGTGTGAAAGTCATGAGGACGGGGATGAGCCGCGGGAGAGAACACGGGAATTGAACGAATGAGTGAAACTGAAAAAGAGGAACAACTCATGAGCCCTGGAGTGAATATATCCTGTGTTTCTATTTTTGTATACTTTTAACTGTTACTGAATAAAGGCTGAAATAAAGCCTGAAAAACACACACACTCCTCACTCTCCATTTACACACTTACTACCACACACAGACACACTCACACGCACATGAATAGACACACACACAGGAGCAAATTTTTGGGTCTATATCAATTTCAATTTTCAAGAGCTAGTCTAGAGATTTTTAGATGGGTGTAAAAACGTGAAAAATTAAGGTTTCACAACAGAATGAAATCAAAATTAGTCGAACAGCCCATAAACAACCACAAAAATAAACAAATAAGGGTGTGTGTCAACCTGTCCGAAGAAAATTGCCTGTTTTAACCCTAAAAGTGCGTAAATTTTTTTTTTTAAGTACAGGATATTACATGTAAATTATGGAATCACACACTTTAAGGGGCCTGCCAGTGTCAGTACATGTAATCGGTTTTGGTGGAACGTACGCTCTAACATAAAACATTTAAATCTATATATATACATGTATATATATTTAGAATCTGATGAAGGAAGGAACATCAAATTAAATGACGTTACACTATGCAACATCCCCCCCCCCCCCTCCTTTCCCCACAAAAAATGGTAGAAAAACAACACATCAGAACAGTAACAAGAAAAAAAATTACACACTAACAAAATAAAACACCACAAAGAGTCAAAGAGGGAAAATAAAAGTAACTGTAACGTATTCAACAAATCAACAAGTGAGAAAGAGACTAAGTGAAGCTAAGTGAACTTTCTTTCAAAAGTAAAGAGGTTTCGGTTTCTTTCTTTTTTTTCTTTTTTTTAAAAATAAATTTGACTTTTAATTATTCCCCGACCAAAAAATCGAGCCAGGATTGATAGGTCGCGGCCACGACAAACGCAGAAGCTAGTTCTATGTGTCGTTATCAATAACCCTCCGTAGATCTAGATCTAGACAGCACATGAGTGAACACAACACATTAAGTTTAAGAGCAGCACACTTCATAGGCAACATGTCATATCTGTAGCGAAAAACTGTTTGGAACTGTAGCATTTCTTTATAAATATTTACTGCGGACTTTTTTGGACCGATTGAACCATATTGTATACGAATAATCTTTGGTAGGCCTATACTCTATATAATATCCGAAATTTGCGGGAAAGGATGTGATTTCAGAGTGTTCGGAGAAATAGTGCCCAGCTTTATTTTCCCGAACGTTCGGAGAAATAGTACCTAGCTTTATTTTCCCGAACGTTCGGAGAAATAGTGTCGGCCTAATAATAATTTTACAATTCCAGTCATGTTCTCAACCCAGTGGACCCTACGAGTCTATGCCGGAACGTAATGCCTGATTGTGACTACCTTTACACATTTGTGTTCTGGATGCAAGCCTCAGTGTGTAGCATGTATTATAACAGACAATGCACAGGAGGTCAAGTGCACTGGTTTTGTGTAGACTGAGCCTTGAGGGGTGCAAGGCTCAAGGGGTTGAACTTTAATTTCATAGTAAAGCTAGCTAGTGAAGTGGCATCTTCTGTTTTTCAACACTGTAATAAAGTTGCCCTGTTATCTGGAGTCTTAATTTTTTAATCCCTTTCATTATTTCTGTTCACCTATGTAGTTAGGTATTTAATTTTTTTATGTCAAATTTAAATTATATGGTGTTGATTATAAATTCATTCAAGGATGGGTGTGCATCGAACATGTCTACCATTATCATTCAAATATTATATACTCACTGTAGTCTTTTAAATTGTCTTTGAATTTATGGTTGTCTGCCTTCTATAATTTCTCCAACAAAGGAACATCATTATAGATCAGTTTTGTATTTTAGTGTTTTTATTATATAAAGTGTTTTTTTATGGACCTCTCCAATGATATTATTATATTTATATCATTGTCAAATTTCATTGTCTTAATATGCCTTCTGTTTGTTGACATTTTTTTGCTCTTCATTTTATTTTCCTTTTCCCTCTTTAAAAATGTATGGTAGAAGTCTTTGTATTATAATTTAAGTATTATGTTAACTTCATAATATAATCAACTGGAACATTTTTTTGTCTCTACAGTTTTTATCGAAACTTATGGATGTCAGATGAATGTAAATGATACTGAAATTGCTTGGAGCATCTTACAGCAGAATGGGTTTACTAAAGCTTCAAGCATATCTGAGGTATGTTGAAAGTAGTACTGTAGTACTGACAAACATTTGTAAAATTAATCAGTTTTAATTTCTTTGTTATCTTTAAATTCTATTATATTCACTTTATATGGTCAAACTGTAAATGGTTCAAATAGTTAAAATTTCAAAGTCCTGAGTAGTAAAATCATTTGGTGGTCTTTTATATAGAAACTGCACGGTTCAAATCAAATGATTTATGTGGTGGTTCATGTATTGATTGTTACCAATGAATTTTGAATGGAATGCAATAGGAAAGTGGAATTTTTTTGTGGCTTTTTCATTCTATTTTTAGGCTGATGTGGTTCTCGCCATTACTTGTGCTATCAGAGAAGGTGCAGAGAACAAGATCTGGAAACGTTTGAATTACTTCAAGTCTGTCAAGAAAAGGAGAAGTAAACACAGGCCTTTAAAAATTGGCCTTTTAGGTGAGTCTGCAAATGTGTTAGTGTTGGTATTTTTCTTTTTTTAAAAATTATTTTTTTAAAGATTCTTGATGGACAACAAACAGGTCTTTTTAAAGTTTTATTTTGGTTTTGTTACTTTCTGACTTTAAGAAAATACTCATGAAATGTTAAGAACAGATAGTCTTCTGACATTGTGATGCTTTGTGAGCGAGAGTGAGCCCATGTCAAGGGTGAACTCACAAAACAAACAAAAGACGGTCACATCGTACAAGGGGAGATCCCTCTCAGTACTCTTAAATTATTTTATATTCTTGTTCAATCCCTTTTACATTTATAAATCTGAGTTGTTGCGCTTGCTTACACTATTTTACATTGATATGACCATGATTTTTGTACAAAACTGTAGGCTGCATGGCTGAGAGGCTGAAGCATAAAATCCTGGAGCAGGACAAGATGGTGGATGTTGTTTGTGGACCAGACGCTTATCGGGACCTGCCGCGTCTGCTCGCAGTGACGAGGTCCACAGATCAGGCAGCAGGTGCTAATGTGTCTGTGTGTTTGTATCTAAGTGTGTGTGTGTGTGTGTGAGTTTGTATTTATGTGTGTGTGTTGAGTCTGTGTGTGTGTGTGTGTGTGTATGAGTCTGTGTTTGTGTGTCTGTCTGTCTATTTTGTTTGTCTATGTTTGATGTGTGTATTTGTTGCTGTTGTTAACCCAGTTGCCCATGGACTTGTGGCCTTCAATTTTTATTTTGTGCCTAGTGCATTTATGATTGACTGTGTCTGAAAATATATTACAAGCATGTAAGACTTTATTCGTATGCATAGCTGCCAACTACTGTGTAAAAAAATTTGATACATTAGAGAGGGTCTGATTACGGAAGTCTATTTTCGTACTGAGAAATATGTATTCTGTTTTCAAGTTTTGCTCCTGACAGACTTGCTGATTCTGAAGAAAAATTGTGAACTCTCAAGACCAGATTTGCTGATAATTATGTGAACGAAGCCCATAAGTCGAGGGTGACTTCTTGATAAATATTTATTATTTAATAGGGTGTATATTCTCTGATTTCTTCCCATTGTTCTTTGTATTGAGATGTGTGTCCATTCGTGTGTGTCTGGTTTTAATATTGAAAATTTAGACTGTTTACTGCTTACTTATAAAGCTGCTTGTGGCTAATGTATGTTGCTGCAGCATTGATTGGGAAAAAAATAGATCATGTTATGATGGGTGTCAGCATTGTGAGGCATATGAGAATTTTTTTTCTACTTTTACTTTGTCTCGAAATAGTTATAATGGCTGATAACTTTGCCCTGTTTCTTAATACATTTCGTTTTCTGTTCTTCTGCAGTCAATGTCCAGTTATCTTTAGAAGAAACTTATGCAGATGTGGTGCCAGTGAGACTGAACTCAAACAGTCCCTCAGCATTTGTGTAAGTGTCAGTGTTGCCTGTGGGCTGGAGGTTTTCTGGTATTTAGGTGTGGTCTACTTTATAATAGACTATGATTATAGTAATTGCCTTGTATACAGTGCATACCCATTCTCTACTACATGCTCCATGTGCTTTACAAATATTATTCTCACCTGGAGGGCTGAAATTGTTGGCCAATAACCCATATTTTGCTGTTATAGTGGTTCAAATTGTCGAGGAAAACGGGAAGGGAATTTTCCCTACTCGTTATCCCACACTCTTGATATTTTCCAGAGGAAGTGTGCAATGTTAATAATTGGCACGACACATCACAAACTATTAAATAATTAAAACCATCTGCTACGGGGCCTTTTGTGGACTCTTTATGGGATGGAAAGGGGGGGGGGAGGGGGCAGGGAGGGATAGCTGTGAAATTGTTGGTACTGTGAGGATCTTTTTTCTTCTTCCAAATTCTATTTTTGTTCATCAGTTTGCTTTTCTAAGATGGGGCTGTATATATTGTGTTCCCACATTTCTCTTTACATCATTGATTCACTTTTACATTGTTTAAGTTCTAATATTTCTCTTTCGCTTTTATATGACTTAGTTATTTAGTTATTGTTAATTTTAAAAAAAATTGAAATGGAGGCTGTTCTGCTCAGCTGGAACAATACTGTACTCTGCTTGTTTACTACTTCACTCAGTTCTTTTTACTTTCTTTTTATCTGAGAAATGTGAGCTACAGTGTTGCATTTCCATTATTTTGTTGATGTACTTCGTTTGAGTAAAGATAAATTTTGTGCTTTGTAGTTGCCCAGATGGGGGTCTGTTCCTACTTATTTACTTCTTTTGTTGATACATGTGCGTTTCTTGAAAAGTAGTCGCCATTTCAGTATTTACTCATCATTGTATAGTAAAGCTGTAACGGAAAAAATTCTTTCTTTAGTTTTTGCTATTTTTATTTTGATAATCATCTTCATTATTAGTGGTTGGCTGGAGGGCGCCACCTGCTGGCCCTACTTCTGTTCAGTTGTTTTTGTTTGTCTGTCTTACTTTCTCCCTGCACTAAATGACAATTATTGTGTTGATTCTTTATTCAACTCAAACACAGACAGTCAAAGAAAATTTTCATTATTAGTAGTCATTGTACTTTTCAGGATGTGGAATATATTTTTCGCTCCTGATCTTTTGGTCTCAGGTCCATAATGCGAGGCTGTGACAACATGTGTACCTACTGCATCGTGCCTTTCACCCGCGGCAGAGAGCGCAGTCGGCCCATTTCCTCCATCTTAGAAGAAATTCACATCCTCTCTGAGCAGGTGTGTAGTCTTTGGTATTCACATGGGATATATGGTATTCTTCTTCTTATTTATTTTTTGGTCTTTTTTTGTTGTTGTTCCTTGAGCTTGAGGTGTGACATAATTCTTAACATGTGCTGTGCGAGATGAACATATTTACGTACAGTTGAACTTGCTTTAATGGCCTCCTGTCCAAGACAATCACCTGTACAAATGACAGTTTCTCACTTTCCCTTCTTGCATTACAGAATGTGAAAGATGTGACCCTTCTGGGGCAAAATGTGAACAGCTACCGGGATGTTTCCTCAGCTTATGGAGAGGATGAGGACATGCCCACACAGCTGAGTGCAGGTAGACTATAGAAAAAAAAATTTCAAGGTTATGACTATGCTTATAAAAGTTATCTCCATTTCAAGGTTATGATTATGCTTATAAAAGTTATCTCCATTTCAAGGTTATGATTATGCTTAATAAAGTTAACAAGTGAACTTCACTTCAAGATTATGACTATTCTTTCTGTAGTGAAATACACTATTGGGTTATTTCTGAAGTTGTGCATTTTTTTAGGGACACTGGGTTTTAGATAAAAAATTTTTATAGATTCAAATTCCACTGACTCTGGGCCTCAAATATGAATATTTGTATATAATATATGGGGCTGTATAGAATAAATACCGTAATAATTTATAGAAAATAATTATGTTTCTTTAAATGTTTGGTCTTCTGCCCAAGTGAAGGTTACAAGGAGAAATCAAATATGGTAATATGCTGTCAAAGTCTCAAATAGTATAAACTCAAAAAGGTTTTTTTTTTTTTTAACACAGATCTGACTTTGGCTTTTATCTTAAACTGTTGACAAAGAGTTCACTCGAGTCTTGGTCATCAATGAGACTGATTGTACAGCAGCTACTGGTGTTAATTGTTTTATAGTTTGAGTCAAATCATTTGTTTTTGCGGAAAACAATAAAGTGTGACTCTAGTTAAGATTGATTGTTTAACTGATACCATTTGTCAATCTGTTCATAGCCAGCACCCACTTTTGCCACCTTTAAGAGGCAAAAATTTTCATGTATTCCCAAGTGGGCCATTAAATAATACTGGTGATTACCACTGCCCAGCAAAATTTCCAAATCGCCTACCATAGTGCAAATGCTGCTGTATGTCGTTGAACGTAGATAACATGCTTCTTAAGGCAAATAGCCTTATGATTGTTAGAGAGTGAAGTCAATGCATAATACAATATGAAAGTGCATGTGGTTGTTGTTCACTAGTAGCTTAGCATTAATTTCGTTTGCAGGTTTCAAGACAGTCTATAAGCCCAAAACAGGTGGGAGGAGATTCGCAGAGCTACTCGAAGCTGTGTCAAAAGTTGACCCAGAAATGAGGATTCGGTTCACTTCACCTCATCCCAAGGACTTTCCAGATGAGGTGAGTGCATTTTATCTCTCTGTCGTACTATTATTTTGTCTCTCTGGCATACTGTGGAGACGAAAGCAGTCAACAGAGTATGGTTAGAGAGCAGGAAAGAGATTAAAGGAGAACATTTTTAGAGAACATTTTTCTGTCGCTGTCTGGTTTCGAACCGGGGATCTATTGAATGAGAGGTGAACACTGTAACCTCTAGTCTAGACCATGAGAGCCCCCCCCCCCCCCCCAGTTAGGGGTTGGGGTTAGGGTTAGGGCCACTCAGCCAGACAGCGCCAGCTCACTGGCCGGTGCCACTAGCCACTTACAGACAACCGATTAAAATGTTTTTTTGACAAATGTTTCTCAGGTGCTTCACACAATCATGGAGAGACCCAATGTTTGTAAGCAGATCCACCTTCCTGCCCAGAGCGGCAATTCTGAGGTGCTCAAGGCCATGGGGCGGGGCTACAGTCGGGAAGCTTACCTGGAGCTGGTAGAACGTGTCAGGGACATAATCCCAGGTGTGTGAGTGTGGATGTTTGCCATGTGTGTGCCTGTATATGTGTGTGTGTGTATCTTTTTCTTGTGTGAGTGCTGGGCTACAGTCGGGAAGCACACCTACTGCTGATGGAACGTGTCAGGGACATAATCCCAGGAGTGTGAGTGTGGATGTTTGCCGTGTGTGTGCCTGTATATGTGTGTGTGTATCTTTGTCTTGTGTGAGTGCTGGGCTACAGTCGGGAAGCACACCTACTGCTGATGGAACGTGTCAGGGATATAATCCCAGGTGTGTGTGTGTGGATGTTTATCGTGTTTGTGTAGGTGTGTGTGTATGTTTGTCTTGTGTGAGCATATTCATTTTTCTGTACATGTTCGTCTTGTGTGAGTGTTTATATGGGTGTATGTTCATCTTGTGTGATTGTGTGTATGGATATGTGTAGGTGTGTGTGTGTGTATTATCGTCTTGTGTAATTGTATGTATGAATGTGTGTAGGTGTGTGTGTTTGGATGTGTTTGGGTGTGTGTGGGGGAGGAGTGGGTCCACGTGCCCACATAAGCATGACACTGCTTGGGTGTGTGTACATGCTTCAGTGTTTGTGTGTGCATGTTATGTACCTGTGTCTGCCTTTGTTTATATCCCTCAAAAACCTATGTGTTTGTGTATGTCTATTTGGTTAAGCCGTGTTGACGAAATCAGCTTTCTTTTTGAAGCTGCTATACTTTTTTTGCATGTATGACATTCTCTAGTAGCACCTCTAATCTTCAGCCCCTACATGACCTATTTGTGTTGTAAATGCTAGGAAACTTGTAGGAAAACTAAAAATAAACTGTGTTGCCCCTGACTTTTACATGTATTTAGTTGATGTGCTTCTCTTTTTTTCTAATAAAAATACATATTGTCTGTTTCGCTCCATTCTCAGGGGTGGGTTTGTCCAGTGACTTCATAGCGGGTTTCTGCGGAGAATCAGAGGCAGCCCACCAGGACACGCTGTCTTTGCTGGACATTGTCAAGTACAACTTTGCCTTCTGTTTCCCTTACAGCATGAGACAGGTAGGTGCACAACTGTCTGATCAAGTGTTTCAAAATATGGTGGAATCAGGCACTCGACAATTTTGGGGCATACAAATTTTGGGGCATACAAAGCTATTTGCATAATCTTAAAACCTGTTTATTTGCCTTGTTTATTTTAATAAACACAAAAAAGATTCTCATCTAATCTTCAATAGCAGTTGAGATATTTTTTATTTGAAAAGGTGGGGTCGCCTGTCATGGCCTCATGACAGATATTGGTATTCCACTATTTCCTCGAACCCCACCATCCGGAACCCAGGGAAACTATTACAATCAGGGTTATGTGTGTGGTGGGTTAATTATATAATGAGACAGACTGGTGCATAGAGCCAATTTGAAAATGAACTCTTCTTTGCTTTCATTTTGACTATGGCAAACTTTTTACTGTTTAGGAAATGAGAGAAACATGTCATTGTTTTTTCACCAAGATGCATCTTTACATGAAAGAATTGTAGGAATGATTTAATTTAAAAAATTATGTGGTTCATGTATTTTGCTTGCTTTTGTGTTGAGCTTTGCTGAAAAAACCTGTGAATTTTGCGTTCCATCTTCTTTATGATCCCCCATCCTCCGTGCAACATAGAAAACCAGAGCCTACCACCGACTGCAGGATGATGTCCCCCAGGAGGTCAAGCTCCGCAGGAACACAGAGCTACATGACAGATATCGCAAACATGCCGAGGTCAGGCACAAGTCACAGATAGGACAGCGGCATCTCGTCTTGGTGGAAGGGGTGAGCTTATTTGTGGTGTGCGACCTTAAATGAAAAGTTTTTGTTGATTTTCTCAATTAAATAGGCCTCTTGCAGATTTCATACTGTATATCATGACATATATAGGATGCAACTTCTTTCCTTATAATTTGGGCTTCAAAGTTGATAAAATAATGGAAACACCCCCCCCCCCCCCCCCCCCCCCCCACCACCACTAACGAAGGTGTCGGTGCTTGCCATGAAAAAGTTGTGGTGCGTTTTATTGGATGAACATAAGATTTATACCAAAATTTTGTCTCTCAAGTCTACTTGAACTTGTGTCTTATCTGCACATGTGTCTGGGTAAGAGATTTCCTCGTCACATCTTTTTTTTAGATCTTTGGCTGTGTGCTTACAAGCTGTAAGTGTATTAACTTTTTAGTTCCATAATACCCTAGTGGCAGTTCCATGATTAGGTTTCATGGCTTAAAAAGCTAATGTGCTATAATTTCCATGTAGAAGGAAATAACCTTTCTGGCCAGTCATGACCATACATATTTTCACCAAATATGAAGTTTTGCATGTAAAATTACCCTGGAAATAGTTCTAGTGGACCTGTAACAGTGTCCCTCGAGCTTATTCAATGTAAAGTATATGTTGCTTATTCATCTAACATCTGACACTTATTGAAATAGGATATGAGACCAAAAGAAACAGATGTTATTTGTCTTCTTTTCAGGAAAGCAAGCGATCTTCTTTGGATCTGTCTGGTCGCAATGATGCCAACACCAAAGTTGTGTTTCCCAACCAGGCATTGGCTGATGTGACTGGAGCCGATGTAGCCAGGACGTCTCAACCCGGTGACTACGTTGTAGTGGAGGTAAAAATGTAGGGCGTGAAAAATACATCTCATTTTAAATCGTTGTTGTTATAGGAGTTTGTTGAATTGGTATTTTTTTTCAAAGTGCAGTAAACATTTGTGTGTACTTAAAGGGTCGGTCTCACCTTAGAAAGAATTTTTTGTGTATTTAGAGTTTGGTTCGGTGATTTTTGTGATGTAAATAAGGATGATATGGTTATTTTTAGAGCATCCGTGCAAAGAAATGATGGGCTGACCATGATTGCTGATGTCTGTTTCAGACCTGGCATTCCAAAATGGTGATGAAATCTTAATGCTGCACGTCAAAGTGTATTCAGTGTGATCAAATTTTTTACACTTGAGTCGATACTATCCTGAATACAAACTCATTGAATTCATAATAATGCTGCCAAATGACAGACAACCCCTGAATTGTAACAACAACAAAAATTTAATGTAGGTGTCATACCTCTTTATTTTCACTTAAAGAAGGTTAGGATAACAGTTATTATTCTCATTATCTGTTTCCTGTTTAACCCGCATTAGTCCTGACTATTTTATTAACCCCTTCATTGCCTTATAACGTACCTGGTACGCCATGAAAATGCGTAATTTTTAGCGCTGCGGCGTACCATGTACGTCATGGAAGTTTGCAAAATTTGCTGCTCCTGGTTGCCTATATGGTACATGTACGTCACGCTGATAACCTGGCTCTACTTCTTCTGTACGGAGTTTTAGCCACAAGTGCTGCTTAGATTTGTGTTCGGAAATAAAATGCGCGCTTTTCGTTACCAAATTTGCTAGTACGGTATTTCTTTACTGCTAGGCTTGGAAGCGATCGATAAACATAGATCTCTAGGCTTGCGGTTGGCCGTATGCTCTTACAAAATGTAAACACGCGAAATGACTTCAAAAAGGCAAATAAATTCACTTTTTTACTTAGATTTGCAGGTTATTCGAAATTATGAGTTAGATGGGAGGAAATGGGAAGTGAGAAAAGTGAAAATCGAAGACCCGGTGTCCGAAATATGTCACGAGTGTGCTAGATCTAGACCGCGCGCCCGTTAACACTGAGACATTAAGCTGCTGTCCTGGGTAATGAGCTCAGCTGAAAATCAGTGTGGACAGTAGGAACGTATACCCTATAGCAACGAAAGGGTTGGCTGCCTTTTTGTTTGCAAATGCAACTTCATAAATTTTAAGTTATTTTCATAAAATCCAAGCGGCTTGCTTGATTACTAGCCTGGGTTAGTTCCGACAGTCAGGATTTAAGCAACACATCTTCTATATGTTTTATATTGTGACAAAGGGGTAATAATATACATTTGCAGTCTCTTTCAGAACTGATATGTTTTGTTTCCTCTTCCGTCAGTACAGATCACCTCGGGCAACTCCCTGGGCATGAAGGGCACCGCCTTATACCGCACCTCCCTGCAGCACCACCACCGCCAAGGACAACAGGAAACTCTCCATTGCTCTCAAACAACGGTGTGATTGTTTGTTTTAGCGCTGGTGAAATGACAGCTTGAACTGCATTCTTCCCAGGAAGTTGAAATTGTTTCAGAATTCTACCAAGTCTGCTTGTAAAGTGCATAGAGCTTGCTTTTGAGCAGAAATTAGCCCTAAACAAATGCTATTTATTGTTATTATTATTAGGATACAGACTGGGATCCTGACCGTTGTGTCATTGTTCAACTGGTTTTCTTTTGCTTTGCTCTAGTTTTTGTAAATGCTCATTATCACATTTCGGTTTTATTTTTGTTGATGAACTCTGAATAATTTTCAGCTTTCTCCTCTGCGGTGTGTCTAATTTTGACTGGCAGCAATGCAATATAAATATATGTATTGAGTCCCAGAATAAATTTTAAGTTCAATTCGTAGAATTTGTCTTTTTCTTTACAATAGTTCACACTAGGATTGTTGGCTGTGGCGGAGATGTTACTTGACCTCTCTAAAATGGACTGCCTGGTTTGCCCTATAGAACTGTCATAGATGCTAAAGCGGTGGTGTTTTTCCCTGTTCTGATTACAAATGTTCACCCTTCTTAGAAGATAGGAACAATTCCTGAACATCAGGTGACAGAAAAACAAAGTGCCGATAATAAACACATTCATTGTGGGAACTTCATTTTTTATTAAACTTTCATGACAAAAAACCCCAACAAAAACAAACTGTTAGTAAAAATTTGTGACAAGATATAACCATGAGCAATACAGAGTGACTTTGTTCCAAGCACACTTTCACAGTGGTTCCTCCCTCTGCTGATAGCTCTGCCATTGTGTGGTGCTACATGAGTTTGGCCTCTGTGCCATTTGATAAAACTCTGTTTTAACAGCAGTGCACAACAGTGAATAGACACAAGAAAATCAATGTGTTGAGTTGAAGAGAAGAATAGATGAACACAGTTATGGTCAAATGTATTTGTTTGAGTAAAGAGAAGTATATTGACAAAATAACAAGTTATTCCGTGCAGGGAAAAGACAGACAGACAGAAACAACAGATGGAAAGAAAGGAAGTGGGATATACCAGTAGCACCCTCCAAAACAGAGGATGATTACAAGACATCGTTGTGCTGAGTCAAAGAGAACTTATGAATACAGAAACGATCATATGAACACTATAATGGTCAAACAATGTTGGAAGGAAAAGTGGCGAGCCAATCAACAAAACCAATAAAAGGTTGGCAAGGACAGTGTCTGGGTCTATTGTTTGCCTCTCTCATGAGCTTTGTTTGTTTCTTAGTTTGAGTAAAGAGAAGCACACCAACACAAAAATGGTCGTTTAGTGTTGGGAAAATGTAAGACGGCCAGCCAGAAACAATAGAAAAAGTAAAAAAGTAGGACCTACCAGTGGCACCCTCCAAGGACCCGCTTGTTTGAGTAAAGAGAAGAACATTGATACTATAAATGGTCATTTAGTGCAGGGAAATGGCAATACAGATAAACGAATGGGGGAAAGAAAAGTTGGTTCTTCTGAACATCTCCTACTAATCAAATCATTCTTCTTATTCTGTCAGTAGTTTTCTTTATTTGTACATATCATAAATCTGTATATATAATACATATAATACCCTCAGAACAAGTTGGCACTTCAGCCTGCATATAAATATATGCTTGAAAGAGATTTTTAAATAAGAAACAAATTTTAAAAAAGAATTGTTTTACTTTCATCTATAACTATAAGTACTATGGTTTCATGCTCATCACAACATTTTACAGTCCACTTCCATGTGAAAAAAGACAGGTACGAAAACAAAAACTGCTTGCAGCAAATAAATTTGAGTTCTCCTGAATAGGATTTCACCGGATTTGACTAATTTTTCCCCAAAGCGATAATTCAAATGTTGGATGTGATATCGTGTCCAGAGGGAAACAGAGATAAAAATGTCATGAAATCAAGGTAAAAGTGAACCATACCATAGGAGGAATGTATCATGTCTGAGTTGAGTTTATACTTCTTTCAAAGTCATCTTTTCATTCCTTTTCATAACTAATAAGTCTTGCAAGCTGCTAAGCAAGTTGTATGTGAAGACTGCATATAAATAGATGATGGAGACATTTAATCCTTCTAAATCTAAAGTTGTGGATCCAGTTGAGTGCCATTTTAGAAGTTGATCGGCAGATGTACTGTACTGTGCTTGCTTTGTTTTCATTTTTAGTTTTAGCATTAGTAAAGAGAAGCACCTCAATGCAACAACAATCATTCAATTATGGGTAGGGGCAAAGCAAGACAGGCTTACAGAAACAACAGAGGGAAAGAAATAAAGCAGGACCTATCAATGGCACCCATCAGCTATGAGGCACACATGACATCACTGACTGTTATGCATTCTGATTGCAGCTTATACGTAGCTCAATAATAGTTTATTGTAGAAAACTATTTGCTTTATGTCTTGTATCCTCATTGACACCGTTTACATTGTTTAGGAGGCATGCTGCTTCATAATTGCCTGTCAGTGCCAACCCATGCTGACTGGAAATGGAATGCAGTAGGCCTACCCCATTAAACGAACAAACAGAGATACTTCAAAATACTTGATAACATTACTTTCCTCATTTAGAGCCAAACTCACTTCTACAAGCAAAGGTGAAGAGCTTATTCATTACACCACAGATTCCAGTCATCAATTATGCTCAAACTGAATGTACAGTGAGAAAGTCATTAAAACTCATATAAGGAAATGTTACGCTTTGTACACAATCAAGAGTATCGTGTTAGAGAAACATAACAACTTTCAACAATATGCTAATTTTTGTTTACACAAAATACACATACAAATGCACAGATACTTCCATGCAAAACTGTCTTTTATTCTCAACAGAAAACTCTTCCACTATCTCCAAGCATTCAGTTCCTTTTTCAATAAATGTTTAGACAAAATTCTAAGAGGAGACAGGCAAATAAAACCATACCCCCCCCTCCCCCAACCCCCCTCTCCTGAGACAAACAGAGAAAAAAATCCCCTAAAATACCCCCTGACACGGCCCTTTGCTCCTTGAGACAAAATGTAATAGTTTTATTAATTTACCCCGTAGTATAATACTTTACTTCGAGACACCGCAAGGATAGAAAACTATTGTAAGTTCAATTTTCCATTTCATTTTTTTCTCTTGTTCAGAGCAGACTTACAAAAAAGTGGCTATTTTGAGCAAGGTTGAAAAGATGAATAGACAAAAACAACTAAAGGAAAGAAAAGAAACGTGACCTAAAAGTGGCATCCTCCAACTTCCCGCCTAACACCATTAGGATAAAATGAAATAGCATGAAAATCCATCACAAAACAGACATGGGCCAACAAGCTGAAAATATTGTCTTTTTTTTTTTATACAATAAAAAGTACAATTTTACACAATGTTAATATTTTAAAACCAAGTTATATTACAAACATTTATAAATATCTTTTATATAATTTTCAACATATAAAAAAATATTGTATCAGAAATCAACACTGCTCGTTACACAGAGCTGAGAGAGTTGAGACAAAACAAGACCATGGCAAGGATGATGAATGGATACGATACACAAAGAACAGTGATGATACCCCCTCCTCTTTTTTTCCTTCCTAGCTGTTCTCTAAAAATAAACAATTGGAGATCAACTGGTCCTAGGATATACCAACAAGAGATGGTAGAATTGTGCAGAGGTCAGCCAGTAACTGGTAATTGTATGGGGTTAAATGAGTTAAATGCCCCCTTCACCACTGAATGTCTATTCAAGAAGAGGGGCCTAAAATTTCAAGGACCCCTGAGCGAGTATTGAGTTCTTGTGTGCTGTCGCGGCATCGCTGAGCACTTATGACACCACAGTGCCAGAAAGGAGAGAGAGGGCGGCCAAAAAAAAACATCTTTCTGTAATAGGACTGAAGTAGGTAGAGAGCCTCTAACTCTAACACTCCAAAAAATGGCCTAAGTTCAAGAACGAACCCATGGGCCATTCAAACTGTTATCTGAACCACTGACCCTCTTGATACTGAATGGGACAGTGGTCTCCCTGACAGAGCGAAAAAATGTAGAGACGAGCAAACTTTCCTTTGAAGCACTTGAAAGTAAGGAACATTTTTTTAAGTAGGCTTAATTGTTGAAAGAATGAAGCAGTTTTTTTTTCACTCTTCTTCAAAATTTTGCTTTCTGGGCTTAGTACATTTTAACAGCTTGGCAGCAATTTGCAGAGTTCATAAGATAAAGAGGTTGTTAAACTGATTTTTTTTTTTAAATGACTCGCCGACTCCAAAACAAACGTAGGCGATCGGCTCGACCCACCCAAATGGGCACCTCATATAAAGGTTTCATGTCCCCATTAACACAATTTATATCTCTTCTAGTAAGTGAACAGCTTTGGCTCCGCTAGAGAGGACCATCCAGGCCAAGCAGAAAGTAGCATCGAAGTGAAGCAAATATGAGATTGATGTTGCCAGCAAATAACTACCTCGAAGGCGAATAAAACTCAAGTCTTCTGCATGCAACGGTCTATCATGTTTTACTAAAATTAAAGTATAAAAATATGAGATAATAAAGCTAGAGCATTGTAGCTGAACTGAGCTGGGCAAAAGGTCTAACTAGGACGGTGTTACAAAAACTCACAACTCTACAAATTTGATCTACCAGTAAGATTATGAAGAGTCCTCCAACATTGCAGATCTAAATAAATTAATTGTTCTGGCGTTTTTCTGACTTAGAGCAAAACAAAAGTACGCCAAGTCTTAATTCAACAAACTGATTAAATCCACTATTTTGTTCCATAAAACAAATGTAAGACCTTGTGGTGAAATCAGGCGCTCGTCAAAATAAAGAATTCAAACCATCTGGCATTTTTCGTTCCATGGCGGAATTTTTTAAAAACGTTTCTTTTTTTTTTTGGCTTAACACCTTTAACGTCTATTTAAAAACACATTTCTGTGCGGCTTTTATTGTAAAACGTTGATCAATGGCACACAAAATGCAAATTTGCCATTCCTAAGGACTCTCATTCTCAAATTTTAGAAGCCACCAAACTTTGGTGGCCATTTTATCGCTAATTTTACTCCAGACATCATGTGACCCCACCTCTTTCAATCACAAATAATATCTCAACTGCTATTCAAGGAAGACAGGCACTCTTTTCATCAAAAGAAAGATATACATACAAACAAGCTTTATGATGATACCAATAACACCATATGCCCAAAATTTGACAAGCGCCTGGTTCCACCACATCGTGAAACAAATTATCGTCGGTCGCCTGATAAAACCGTGAATTCCACAAATTTTCGAAAATCGTTTTTTTGCATATTTTGATAGTGCTCGGTGAGATACATGTCCCTGTAAAACTATTTTTCTATTATCTCGACTCAAACGTGTAATCTGAAGTAGTAAGAAAATCGTGAAAAAACACCGAGCCCCACACAGGCAAGATTTGAAAATGAAAATCGTGAATACAAACTTTTTCGATAAAATGACCACCTACGGTAAAAAATGTACTACAGTATTATTTCTAAAAGGTAATTGACTAGATTTATCAATTATTTAGCTGATGTCTTGAACGCCAAATGACAGAGAAAATCAGTTTTTTCTCTCTCCTGTAAAATTTGCTTCCAGTGGAATTCACGATTTCATCAGGCAAACGACGTTATGTTTCTTAAAGCTGGATATCACTAACTAAGGTGGTTTGTAACGAAAAATTAAAGCTACAATAGAGTAGAAGAAGAAGTCACAACATGCACTGGTACTGTACATGTAATAGTAGCAAGCTAGAAAGTTACAACGTTTTGGTCATAGTCAGCTCATATGCAAATATACATAGACCTAATTATCTTAAACTTAGTCCATAAGCAGTGTACAAGATACTACCAAAAACCCCCCCAAAAAACAACAAAAAAAGTTTTTAAAAAACCCAAACAAAACAGTAGCTGCAACCACTAGAGTATCCACATAATTGCTGAGAGAAAATAATGGAAATAGGGCACATGACAAAAGCAATACCCTTATAATTTTGTGTTTTGTTCGTCATTTTTTCAGTGTAGCTGTTTTTCGCATTCTCATTGACACAATTTAGATCAAGAAGGAAGTGAATATATTTTGACTTTGCCAGTCAGGGCCAACCCAGGCTCAGAGGCCTACAATGTCTTAACAGAAGGAGCGAGATACTCGATAAAAATTCACTCATGAATTTCAAGTTCATGAATTTGATTGTCTTATCATTGTGGCCTTCAGTCAACATTTTCAATTCAGCCTTAAAATGACCCCTATAATATAGAACTTACTTTACATTTCTGCTATTGGCCTTTTGCATACATGCTCTTTCTAGTTCTAGTCATGTAGCCATCACAATCTTGTGTCAGTCTTTCCTTCTGTTTCCAAGAATGTTCAGTCAAATGACTCAATGACATCAAATGAACTTGTTCTATATTTTCAAATATATGTACATTTACTTATTGTTCTTAAGCAGGGCACTGTTAACGATACAACATGTCAAAGTCATCAAAATAAAAGCCTACTGTTCGATGCCAGGAAAACAAATTTAAAATAACAGATGCATAAAATCATAAATGCTTTGGGAAAGTTGTGGCTTTTCACTTCACCCCAAAAAGTGCGGGTGAGATTTAGAGGCAAGAGGCAATATCTACATAAAGTTGATAAAGCGACATTCATAGAAGTAGATTGTACTCTCAAGGATATATAAACATCATGTTCGTAAAGCAAGCCATTAATGGCCAAATATCAGTTATGAAACATGTTTTACAGAACCGGTTTAGTTGAACCCTGAAATTTGCTAAAAAATTGGAACCCTAAGTAATGTGCAAATGAGAGATTTGAGCAAAGATCTCTACAAAACGACCAGTGCACTTTAAATGCCCGCTGCAGTGAGCGCTACTTTCCTTCTTTTGCACATTGAAAACAGGCCTTGTTCCATCTTTTGCACTCTAAAGGCACACCTCAGTATACAATACTTTTATCCCCCTTCATCCAAATGCGCATCTAGCGAGCTTTAGAGCAAATGTTGAATCAAAGGGCTCAGAGTTAACTACCTTTTTCCTCAGTGCTTCTAAAAGGACTCTGGACAAGAATAAATATGTTCAAAAGCTGCTCTGAAGAAAGGTGGTTATTCTCCACAACTGCATGGAGGATGGATCAAAACCTTTGTTTATCACAATCTCCAAAGTGGTGTATAATCCTCAGTCTAAAACTTGCGCTAGCTCCGATCAGTTTCTCCTCCTCCCAAGGCTCTCTATTGCATGCCTCATACTTCATGTTGGCTCTAATCAGATCCAAGACTACCACCCGCAATCCTTCCCCTTTTTAAAAAAGCCTTTCCTTCCCCTCTGCCACACTCATACTGGAACCAATCAATACCTATACCCCACCATCATCATTATCACAGACCAAATAATTCCCCTTTCTCGTGTTTTGTTTTTCTTGAAGCCTATCAATCTCCACCACGTTGGCACAATTTTACATAACGTACAAATATTGGCACCAAAATCAGGACACAGAACAAAAAAAAATACCTAAGCAGTCCGTTCATTCCCGAAATTCCTCCCCCTCCCCCACCGCCACATCATCAGCCCCAACCAATCACGACCTTGACCCAGAGGCCCCTACCAGGCCGGCTGACTCCGCCATGCTGTAGAAGAGACTGTCAGGTCTCTGGAGCAGAATCTGGGGATTGTCAAACTCCATCACCTCTCCCTTGTCCAGCACCAAGATCCTGCAAAAAAAAATAAAATAAAAAAAAAATAAAATAAAGGACAGAGTTATTTCTGGAATTTGCTATAGGTTGGAACAAAAACAAGCACAAAGTTTCATTGAGTTTTATGATGAGTTGGAATAAAAACAGAATTAGGGCTATCGTACGTTGGATATTGCAGATGGAAAAAAAAAAAAAGGCGCGAACTTTTGTAGAGGTTTGCAACGAGTTGAGAAAGTAACAGTCATATTTCTGAATCTTGGCCGTGCAATTTGAAATGATTTTCAAATTCAGGAAGGGTCATTCAGCTGTCATATCAAAACTTTTAAAGAACAGCACTAAGTTTCTCTCATTTGATCGTCTAAGACTATCAAGGGGCAGTGACATGTTTTATTTGGTACAGCATCTGTCTTTTTGCTAGGACAAATTCCCCTACACCAGGGTTGACCATGACAGGTAGAGGCATAACTGGCCGCATTCGTATTGATCTAAATGGTGGAATGAAACACTTTAGTCACTATAACAGAGACTGTACAAGAGAAATTAGGTGACTGATAGGGTGAGAGAGTATGTGAGAGATTAGGAGAGACATTCTTCATGAGGCAATAAGAGAGACATTATGTGAGAACATTATGTACACTATATGAACGATTACAGTCAAACCTGCCCTGACGGACACCTCTATAAGACGGCCACCCGTACAAACGGACACTTTCCATTTCCCCCCTTGCGTTTTTTCTATATAATTTAACTGTATAAAACGGTCACCTGTCCAACGCGGCCGCGGCCACCATATTTTAACACACAACTCCTATCACACTAAGCAATAACACCTGTCTAAGACGGCCACCTTAGTGACTCCATTACGTTTTGTCATTCATTATGCATTGGCCCGTGGAGTTGTGGGCGAGCCGTCACAATTCAATCACCTGTCGTTGTTGTTAGGTAGTCCCTCCAACCGATCATGTTGTGTAGGCCCCTCCCACTGTTGACCAATAGCTACCAATTTTCAGCTGCTGGTGAGGTAAGCGTGTGATCCCTCATAACCCATAAGCCCCGCCTAGAACTCACACGCAAATCGTAAGTGAGATGAGTGGTCACTGTTTACCCAGTCTGTAACAAAGCAACAAAGGACGTCAACATGAACTTGTGACAGAAGCGTTGCTCGTTCTCCGAGTGGTGGCGACCCATGTGCTTGTTTTAACGTGGCACTCGGTCTTCCTCGTCTGATACATTTCATTTTATTGTCACCCTTGTGCAAAATCAGCAACAAAATAAAAATGACAAACAAAATACAAACCACCACCACCAACAACAACAACATAAAAAACAACAACAATGCGGCTACTTTCGATTGGGACCTCAGAATATGGGAATGGTTTGTTTTCTTCATCTTGATCAGTCCTGCCTAAGACGGCCACCTGTCTTATACGGCCACTTTTCTCCTTGACAATGGGTGGCCGTCTTACACAGGTTTGACTGTACACGAGAGATTATCAAAGAGGGATTAAGTGGATTATATGAGACAGAGATTATGTCAGATATTTTATGAAAGATTACATGAGACATCATTTAGACTATGTTAAACAATTGATGATAGACTGTATGAAAGAATAAGGAGCAACAAGAAGACTCACTTGTCATAGTCCATAACCGTATTGAGTCTGTGAGCAATGGTGAGGATGCTGCAGTGGCTGAACTCCTCTCGTATGGTGGTCTGTATCACTTCATCCGTCTCCATATCGACGGCGGCCGTAGCTTCGTCCAGGATCAGAATCTTCGTCTTCAGCAGCAACGCCCGGGCCAGGCACAGTAGCTGTCTCTGACCAACACTAAGGACAGGTAAAAAATAATTTTGGTAAATTTAAAAAATCTAAATTGTGTCAATGGGGTCCTAAAACAATTACATAAAAAAAACCCAGCGCTGCATCGTTGGCATACCTAAAAAATAAATAAAAATAAATAAAAAACTTTTATTTTTTACCTTGGTTTATCCATGAATGATGCAACGTTGCCGGTTAACATGACGACTTGTTTCATTTTTTTCTCTTAACCCATTGTTCCCAGGAGACTCGCCAACGGGTATTATACCTTTCGTACCGGGATACCCGTCGGCGAGAATTTCATTACCCACGAGATTGCTAATCATCGGCTGCATGATTAATGTAGGTGATTTACACCCTAAATCGACACGATTTAGATTAATTGGGAGATGAGGTTTGACCCTGCTTGTCAGGGCCATCCTAGGCTGAGAAAAATACATCATCCAAGGAGAAAGAATAAGATACTTGATAAAAATTCTCCATAGGAATTGAACTCTGATCTTTTGCCTGCAACAACGAAGCGTCCAATCCCTTCCCCACAGATATGGGTTTGTATTTTAATAAGAAATTGGTTACTTCCCCACTAGACCCGGAGATGAGTCATTTTGATAGCTGAGAACCAACAGATTTGTGGTCAGAAAAAGAGAAAGGGGAAAATGTGAAGTTGAAAAAGTAGACAAAAGGAAATAATAACTCAACTGCACTAGTGAGAATTTCGTTACAGTACAGAAAAAAGAAAAACATCAAAACAATAATGGTCATTTAGGGCTAGGGAAAAGTAAGGTGGACAGACAGAGCAAAAGAGAGAAAGGAAATAAGTAGAACTTATTCACAGGGGCCACCTCCAACTACCCTCAAACTCTCTCTCCTCCCTCCCTCCCTCTCTCCTCCTCTTCCCTTCCTCTCTTCCTCCTCGATTGAGATTCTCCCCTCCCCCTCTCTTTCCCCTCCTCCATCCCTACCTTGCTCCCTTCTCCTCCCCTCTTCCTCCTCACCTAAGATTCTCCCCTCCCTCTTCCTTTCTCCTCCCTCCCTCCACCCCCATCTTCCTCACCTGAGATTCTCCCCTCCCTCTCCCTTTTCCCCCCTCCCTCCCTGCCTTACTCTCTTCTCCCCTCCCTCTCTCTCCCTCCTCCCATTTCTCTCCCTCACCTGAGATTCTCCCCTCCCTCCCTCCTCCTCACTCCATCCCTCCCTCTCTCTCCTCCTCCTCACC